GAGATCAAGTTGATGTGCGGCAGGAGGCCCTCTGCGAAGGTTCGTACAATCATGTGCCGAGCCAAAGGTTGGAAGGACCCGCTGAGCGACCAGCCTGACATAGACTTCCGTCCGAAAGGCAAGTGTCGCGCGGAGCCGCAAAGATATCTAGACACGTCCGCTGTGCTCCTCGACCACGGACTCACCTTCCCTGAAGCTTTGGAGTTGGGAGCTCCAAGAGAGGACGACAGTGATGACGATGTCGACCCTGATATGGTGTAGCGACACGCCTTGGAGTTTGCCATCCAAATCCTGGTATACCCAGGTTCGTGTCGCCACCCCTCTGGCCCCTGCTAGGGCACCCGCACGCTGGACTTGGTCGCGGGCGGGCAACAGCGCATGCAGGGGCGGGGGGGGTTTTGCTGGACATTGCAGCTCGGGCGTCGTGGTGTTTGATCCAGCCTGGCTGAACTTGTTTTGCTTTTTCGCCGACATCTTCGGCGCGTTTGGCCCCTTCCTCCTGCTGGAGCTGCTGGGCCAGGCGAAGTTCGGCACCGTGCTGGACTCTTGTGTCGTGGTCTTCCCAGTGTACCACGTGTGCGAGGGCCCCCCGCTCGTGGCGCTGGGAGCCCTGTGGGTGCTCTTCCCCGCCGCGGCGGGCCTCGTGCTGGTGAGCACGGGCCTGCCGCAGGCCCCGTGCACCCTGGCCGCCCGCGCGGCCTTCTGCAGGGCAGGCATGCCCCTCACCCCCAGCCCTGGTGCTTGCAAGGTGGTCCTGGCCTTCGGGCTCCATCGTGCAGGTGCTAGGGAAGGGGGTTGAGGGGTGTGCCTGCCCTCTCTCTGCCTGGATCCAACCGCCCCTCGGCTTCTGCTCGCTCGCTCGCTCGCTCGCTCCTCCTCCTCCTCCTCCTCTTCCTCCTCCTCCTCCATGGATAGTTCCTCCTCCTCCTCCTCCTCCTCCTCCTCCTCCTCCTCCATAGATAGCTCCTCCTCCTCCTCCTCCTCCTCCTCCTCCTCCTCGTCCTCCTCCTCCTCCATAGATAGCTCCTCCCCTCCTCCTCTCCTCCTCCTCCTCCTCCTCCTCCTCCTCCTCCTCCCTCCGTAAATAGCCCTCCTCCTCCTCCTCCTCCTCCTTCTCCTCCTCTCCTCCTCCTCCTCCTCCTCCTCCTCCATGGATAGCTCCTCCTCCTCCTCCTCCTCCTCCTCCTCCTCCTCCTCCTCCTCTCCTCCTCCTTCCTCCTCATCCTCCTCATCCTCCTCCTCTCCTCTCCTCATCCTCTCTCCCTCCTCCCTCCCTCCTCCTCCTCCTCCTCCTCCTCCTCCTCCTCCTCTCCTTCCTCCTCCTCCCTCTCCTCCGCCTCCCTCCTCCTCCTCCTCCCACTTCCTCCTCCTCTCCTCCCTCCTCCTCCTCCTCCTCCTCCTCTCCTCCTCTCCTCCTCCTCCTCCTCCTTCCTCCTCCTTCCTCCTCCTCCACATCCTCCGTAGATACCCCTCCTCCTCCTCCTCCTCCTCCTCCTCCTCCTCCTCCTCCTCCTCCTCCTCCTCCTCCTCCTCCTCCTCCTCCTCCTCCTCCCTATCCATAAATAGCTCCGCCCTGCACGCAGGAGTCTGGGCCTCCCAGGTGGGGTCCGAGCGGTTGGGGTCGCGACGTTTTGCACACCGGCGTCGCCAATAGACGTCGCCGACGTCGGCGACGCATCGCCGAGGCATCGCCGATGCGTCCGCTTGGGCCCCCTCTGGGAGGCCTCGGGCCTGGAGACGCGAGCAGCGCTCGTCGGCTACACGGAGGAGTGCCCCTTCGCCGGAGTGACTTCTGGTACCTGCCAACTGTGGTCCTCCTCCTCCTCCTCCTCTCCTCCTCCCCCTCCTCTCCTCCTCCTCCTCCTCCTCCTCCTCCTCCTCCCCTCCTCCTCCCCCTCCTCCTCGCCTCCTCCTCCTTCTCCCCTCCCCCTCCTCCTCCTCCTCCTCCTCCTCCTCCTCCTCCTCCTCCTCCTCCTTCTCCACCTCCTCCGCGGGCCTCGACGAGGACAGCCACGGCGTCCCGTCGTGGGCCTCGAGGCGCTCGGAGCCTCGGCGCCTCCCCGCGGAGCTCCTCCGGCTCTGCGGCTCTGCGGGTCCGCCGAATGCGAGGCGGCAGTGGCGTCCTGCGCGCTTGTGGCTGCCCCCCCCCCCCCCCTGCGGCCCTAAAAAAGCGGCGCCCCAAAAGACTCACAACGCGCACCCTGCATTCGGTAATAATTAAGGGGGGGGTCCCCTCCACGTGGGGGTCCGCGTCGACCTGTCCGCGCAGCGCGTCGGGGGTTAGATTCGTCCCATCGGCGCACCGCGTGAAGGGGGGGGGGGGGGGCATTTTTTGCGCGGCGGCGCTTGCACGCGACGGGGGTCGATTCGGGGTGTCGGCGGGGATGGCAGCCCTCCGTGCTACGTCTCGCGTGTCAGGGGCCTCTCAGAGGCTCCTCGTCGCCACGGCCAGCTCCCGCCTCGGAGGACGGAGCTGGAGGGACCCCGTGAGGAAACCAGGGGCCAAGTCTGAAGGAGTTTGGGCCAGGCAGAAGAGCCGCCGTTGTCTCGATTCCTGCGCCAAAGCAGCATGATGCGAACACAGCCAGACAGGATGATGAGGGTGGGCAGCTTGCCAAGGGCACCCTTTCATCGCTGCATCCTCGGCCCATCTGGAGCCGCTGGTGCGGTCGGGAGCTTTTGTGTGGCGCGTCGCTGCGCCAGTTCTGGCCCATCACGCATCCGGGAGGCCTCTGCACGATCCTGCCGCGCGGCAGTGCTCGGCAGGCGCACAGCGGGGGAGGCGCGGAGGGAGGCGGGGGTGCGGCAGGCGCCGAGGGCGAAAGCGCGCCGCTCTCCCCCGACCGCGCGAGGGCGCCCCATGGCGGGGCACAGCTCTGAGATCCGGCGCTGCGACAAAATCCGGCCGATCGCAAATATCCGGGGGGCCCCAAACAGTGTGGTGACCACACCGTGCGGTGAGTCGGTGGGGACACCGCACAGTTTTGGGACTCGGGTCGTTTTCGAGGATGTCCCGGGCGACAGGGGCCTCCGGGGCCCCAAGACCGTGCGGTGACGGACCGTGCAGTGAGGTCTTGGGGGATTTCGAGGTCACCGCACGGTCTGTCACCGCACCGCTTCGGGATTCCAGCAACATGGATCAAGGGGGCGTAGATTAGCGACGTGTCCCGTTTCTTCTGGAACTCGCGGATGTCCGCTGCCGAACGAGGCGGCACGGTCGCACGTTGGGGAGGGCACCTCCCCCGATCCATGGATTTGGCGACAGCGCGCCAAATCCATGGATGGCTAATCCATGTTTACGCGGCCCCGAAGATCTGAGCTCCGGCGTTGCGGAAAAATTGCAACATCATGAAAATCACGACCGGGGTTGTGGCCCTAGACATGCGACGTCCTGATTGTTTCGATACGGGGTCCCTGGAAGTCCCGACTCTCTTCCCAGGACTGGTTTTTCATTTTGAGTCGTTTTTCGAAGGTCCCGAGGCCCGGCGAGGGCCCCCCGAGGCCGAAAATTGCCAAAAGCCTCCCGTCTTGTTTTTTTCACGACGCGATCATGTCGCGTGACGGGGAGGTGAAGGAACAGGGGCAGGAGGACCAAGAGGAACGCCAGGGGGAGGGGAGGGGAAGATCAGCACGACGAGGAGCGGGGAGGGGAAAGACCCCCCAGAAGAGGCGAGCTCTTACCCAGAGCCACGGACCCCATCTTCCTGCGTCATTTTTCGAGCTGGATCGATCTGTGAGGGTCCCGGGGCGCGAGGAGGAGCGAACACGCCCGGTGTGAAGAACATTGCGACGCCCGATACCACGGAGCACGCGCGACGAGCGTCCCCAATGTCACAGGCCACGCTCGGTAGGTGCGTGCCCTGTCGACGCGGCAAGGAGACTGTGCCGCGGGCATTCAGAGTGGAGCATCCCCGGAGTCCCAAGCATCGGCCAATATGGAACGATGCGGCGCTCGAAAATCCGCCGATCTTTCAGGGTCTTGTCAGGAGGGACAGAAACACACACACACAGACACAATGAATCGTCGATTCCCTAGAAAATATTGAAAAATATAAGAAGTGGGGGGGGGAGACAGAAACCCCGAAAATATGGAAAACATGGGGAATACTTTTTATTTTTGTGTATTTATATGTGTGTGTGTGTCCTGGGGCCCCTTCATCTTAGCTGCCCTCATACGCCCGTGGTGAAGCGCAGCACGTACCGTGTTCGAAACGTCCGTGTTGACACGCGGCGCGTTGGCTCGACATGTGTTGGTCCACGTTTTGGAAAAAGTATCGCGCCAGACCTACGTGTTCAGTCTACGCGTCGAGCGCCGTGTTAGCACGCTACGGGTTGCGTGTTGCGTCTCGGGGCAGCTAAGTTCAAGGTTGAACGATCCACGCGGTGTCACAAACCAGCACCAGGGTCGTTAGGACCCGAACCTGCAGTACGGGGGGGCGGGTCAAAAGACGAGCGCGGTCGAGGAAGAAATTGGCGCTCATGTTGAGCAGTTTTCGAAAGCTGGCAGGATGTCGGCTGTGTCGAGGGGGAAAGGTACGCGCAAGCATCAGTGGTCAGAGGTCCGCGCCGAAGGCGCGCAGGGGAAGGGTGCTTCGCGCCGGTCCAAGAAATCCACGCGGACCTCCAAACAAATACGTGTCAAGCAGTGGCGAAGCGTCCTGGCTCGCCTATAGCCCCACCAAACAATGTTCTAAGAACCTCTTGTGGTTCCCACGAAATGTTCTTAGAGCATTTCTGGTTTGGACTGTCTGGTTTCATCACATCGAGTTTACGTTCTAAGAACATTGTTTTTGTTCTTAGAACATTTTTGGGTTCTAAGAACATTTCGTGGTCGGCCCCTGCTCAAATGTGCATGCCGATGTGTACTCTTCTACTGCTGCACCTCGCTAATCCGCACGTCCGCATTCCTTACCGTCAGCACAAGGCGGCAGCAGGAAGGTGCACGTGGGGGCGGTCCCTTCTGCCATCCAGACTCGTCGTCCACGCGCGCGGCCCATTGCAGTTTTTTGTTCTAGCCCAGCGTCGCTGTTGAGCTGGACTGCTCCAAGTTTTGTGGCCGCGCCAGGGCCCTCACAGTCCAGACCCCCGGCAGCCGCGACATGGGCGGCGGCAAAGGCGGCAAGTGGGGTGGCATGGGCGGCTGGGGGGACTGGGGCGGCTGGGGTGGCAAGGGTGGCTGGGAGGATATGAGCTGGATGATGATGAAGGGCGGCTGGGGCGGCAAGGACAAGGGCGGCTGGGGCAAGGGCATGGGCGGATGGGGCAACAAAGGCGGCTGGGGAGGTGGAGGCGGGTACGGCGGGCCAGCCCCAGCAGTCTTCCACGTGACGGTTGGCGCTGACAATGTGTTAGCGGCCGTCGGTTTCCCAACGACGGCTCCTGCGGTGGTCTGGGTCAAGGAGGCCGAAGTCTTCAGTTCTGCCTCCAACATTGTCACCGAGCTGTGCGAGGACTGCGAGATCGATCACGACCCAGACTGGGAGCAGTACGCGGACGTGGCGCAAGCCTTGATGGCCGCAGGCGGCCCCGAGGACTGCATCGGCGTGGCCAAGAGCGCGAGCACGGGCAAGTGGGGCGTGGGCGTCGCCTCGGGCAAGCAGGGGCGCGAGAGGGCTGCCAAGGTCGCTCTGGCCATGGCCATCGCAGGGGGCACAGAGCTCATGGCGGGGCTGTCTCGGAACTACCCGGAGTTTGCTGCCATGTGCTCGGGCGCGGAGGCGTCCGCAAGCATGGCCTACCAGGCCCCCGCGGCAGGCAACGGGTACGGTGGTGGACCGCAGCCGAGCTACGAAGCGAACGACGTTCCCCTGGTCCACTGGGTCACGGTGGAGCAGTCCACGCAGTTGCCAGCGAGGGGATTCCCCCCCACGGCTTACGCAGTCTGCCACGGGGGGAAGCAGCACAACAAGTTCTTTCAGAATGCCGGCAGCATCCTATCCGACATCATGGGCGAGACCGTCAAGGACATAAGCTACCTCGACGACCCAGACTGGGAGACATTCCCCGAGGTGGCCAGCGCGATCAAGGCGGCAGGCGGGGAGGACAATTGCCTGATGGTCGCCACCTACGAGGCCGCGGGCGTCTGGGCTGTTGGCATGGCGGGAGGGAAGAAGCCTCGAGAGAACGCCGCCAAGATGGCGCTCGCCATGGCCATGCTCCCGGCTTCGGGGCGGGCGGACGAGCTGATGGCCACCTACCCCGAGCTGGGCCTGCTGTGCGGCGCGGCCGGCCTCGAGGGCGGCGGCGGGGAGCCGAGCGCCAAGAAGCAGAAGCTCTCCTAGGATCGGGGCAGGCGGACGGGGGAGGGGTGGGGGGAGGGGGGGCACGATGCCTGCAGCATGCAGCTGGTTTCGGCCCCGCCGCTGAGCCCCTTCTTCGACACAGTGCCGCCTCTGGCGCCGGGAGGCGCCGGGAGAGCCAGCTCCAGGTCCTCATTCGCGAGCCCCCTCTTTGCCATTTCCCCCGTCTGTCCGACCCGATAGAAGCCATTTGCGATTCCAGATTAACCTCGACACGGCGGCACGCAATTACTTGGCAGAATTCTCATCGCGGAGAAAAGAGGCTCAGGCAGGGAAGCGCGCGGCGAGCTCGGAGATAGGAGCCCCCCCAACACATGGTACAGATCATGGCTGCATTGATTTCTCATACAATCGCAAGCTGTCGAAGCTACTGGTCGCCTCTTGCTTGCTTGCTGTTACAAAGGTTTGTGTGCCTGTTTGTCCGCCCTGGGCTTGCCGCGGTCGCGTCCTTGCCTGCTTGCTTGCTCGCGCTTGCTGGCGCTCGATTGTTCAGGTGGCTGCTCTGTTGTGTTTACATCGCGTTGGCAGTGGGAAGCGGGCAGGTGTTTCGTGATCCATCATTCGCCATCGCGGTTGACCCCAAGCCGTCGAAGCATTTGTTTGTCAGGGGTTCTTCGATCAGAAGGGCTCTTCAAATATGATCAAACGCCTTATCGCATCGAGATTGATAATGGTGTGGTTTGGGAGGCTGACAGGTGAGATTGAGGCGAGCGCGTCGCAGAATCCGCATAATCACAACACATCGGTATAGAATTGTGTGGCCAGGAAGGGCCACAACCACCGCTCTCCCACGGAAAGGCGCCGTGGATTCAGATTGAGCGCCGTGGTGAGCGACGAGACGGACATACGAAGAATCGGGTTCAAGCTGGTTGGTGCCGTGGATTGAGATTGAGCGCCGTGGTGAGCGACGAGACGAAAATGCGAAGGATCGGGTTCCAGCTGGTGTTACTCGGCATCGCTCGGACGTGTGCATGTTTCTCTCGGCGAGGACCATCTCGGACCATCCTGGATCATCGAACAAAAATTACCCCAGTGCGACCCTACCTAGAAGTTGGAGCCCCTAGGAAAGCAGTAGTAGTTGCTATGTTATGCCATGCTATGCTGCGCTATGCTGTGCTGTGCTGTGCTATGCTGCGCTATGCTATGCTATGACATGCTATGATGAGCTATGATATGTCGTGCTGCGCTGTGCTATGCTAAGCTATGCTATGCCATGCTATGATAAGGTGCGCTATGTTATGCTCTGCTATGCTATGGTATGTTATGCTGCGCCATGATATATTATTATATGATGTGATTGGCTATGTTATGCTATGCTATGCTATGCTGATGCAGCGCGGCGCTATGCGCAGCTAAGCTAAGCTAAGCTAAGCGAACCCTCTAGGCAGAGCCTAGATAGGGAATTACACCCATGCTATGCTATGCTCTGCTATGCTATGCTATGCTGCACTGTGCTATGCTGTGCTGTGCTGCGCTATGCTGTGCTGTGCTGTGCTGTGCTATGCTATGCTATGCTATGTTGCGCTATGCTATGCTATGCTGGGTTTTGCTATGATATGCTGTGCTGCGCTATGCCGTGCTACGCTCTGCTATGCTATGCTGTGCTCTGCTATGCTAAAGCTCGGCGAAGCTAAGATGAAGGTAAGCTAAGCTAAGATAAACCTGAGCTAAGATGAAGCTAAGCGAAGCTAAGATGAAATAAGCTAAGCTAAGATGAGATAAGCAACGCTAAGGGGACGTCACTGGGGGAACCACGGGGCGGATCCTGGGGGAACCGCCCGGGGCGGTTTACACTGCCCGGCCCCTTAAGCTTACAGGGTAAGAACCCTTCTAGGCAGAGCCTAGGTAGGGAAAAAACACGCGCGAAACCGAAAAATGCACGGGAAATGAACGCCCGAGCGACGACAAGATGATGTTTCAACCTATTGTAGCTTTGATCATCAGGAAGAATTTCGAGCACCAAGAAAGCACCGAAACTGGAAGGTGTTCACGTGTCGGGCCATGGGAGGCGATGCTCGTCCGGACACTGTCTCGATACTTTTTTGGCAGCTTGACATTTGGTAGCGGTCATTGAGTGGCCTCACAACAGTAACATACACGTGGCATAGGCGGGACAATTTGGGAAACGTGCGGCGTGCACGCGGGGGGAGGGGAGCAGAGTGATCGAGATGCGCTGCACGATGGGAGAAGCTTGCACCGTGTCAGCGCGCTTGCACGCACGACGCGAACTGGAGCCGATATCCAATCTCCCCTTTATGGGGGCTGGTTGTGTCATGGCGATAAGACCTCCGATCTCCAACACATCAAAGCTCTACCTTTGTTTATCGCCCTGTTCCTGCGCCTGTCTTCGGCCTCACCCCAAGATGCTTATACTATATTCGCTTCGCCCGCGCACCGAGAAATCTTGTATCATGTGCGTCGTGGCGGGCGCTTTCTGGCCACGCCGCTCGGGCACCGATGTATACTACAGGATGGGTACCCGGGACCGGTTTTTCATCCTGAGTCGTTTTCTCACGGTCCCGGGGCCCGGCGAGGGCCCCCCGAGGCCGAAATTGGCCGAAAAATTCCCGTCCAGATTTTTTAACGACGCGAGCATGTCTGGGTATACTATATGTTCGGGTCGGTCGCGCGCCTCCATCCTCCCCCGTCCTGCAGCTGGCAGCGGCGGTGAGGCATGGGCCCATCTGGCTGCGCCCCGCCCCCCTCGCGCCTCCTGGCGCGCGTGCCCCCCCCGCGCGCGCCGCGCGCTCCTCGCTCGTTCTCTCTCTCTCTCTCTCTCCCTCTCTCGGCGCCGCGCCGGGGGCGCCCTCGCAGCCGCCGCGGGCCTTTTGGTCTCGGGCGGCCGACCCGCGCCCCCCCGAGAGGGCCAATGGGGGCCCGCCCCGCGGGCCCGCCGCCCGGCGGGGCGCCGGGGCCCCAGGCGAGGGCCTGAGGGGGCCCCGAGATCGAGGGGCGGCCGCCGGGCCCCGGGCGCCGGGCGATGCAGGCCCGCGCCGGCGGGCCCTCGAGGAGGGGGAGGGGCCCTTAAGGACGTGCGATCGCGTCGTGCTAAGAGAGAACAAAAAAGAGGGAGGAGCAAACAAACAAAAAAACAAAAAAAAAAAAAAAAGGGCGGGAGGCTTCTGTGGGCCAGTTTCGGCCTCGGGGGGGCCTCGCTGGCCCGAGGAGGGGCCCGAGGGAGGCCCGAGGGCCTGGCATCGCTCGGGCGTGTGTCTTTTTTTCTCGGCGAGGAGCCTTGAGGAGCATCCTGGACCAGCGAGCGAGAAAAAAAAAGCACGCACGAAGCCGAAAAATGCACGGGAAATGGACGTCCGAGCGACGGCAAGATGGAGGCCGCCAAGGGACGCCCCTTGGGCGCCTCCTGGGGGCCGCTTGGGGGCCTCCTGGGCCGTCCTGGGCGGTCTTGGACTCGGGCGAGGGAGATGCCCCAAAGGGCCGCCCTATCGCACCCGTGCTCGCGGCGTGAAGAGAGAACAAAAGCAGGGCGGGAGGCGCTTGTGGGCCGGTTTCAGCCTCGGGGGGCCCTCGCCGGGCCCCGGGGCAGTCAAGAAACGAGTCCGGATGAAAAACAGCAGTCCCGGGAAAGTCGGGGCTTCCAGGGATCGGGAGCCTTGAGACGGGGGTCAATGCAAACAGGGGTCAGCCAGAGCGCCAGATCTTGCAGGATCCTGCGAAGACCCCCTCTGGCTGACCCGGGTTAGCGAGCTGCTCGTGGCCGCGAGGCGGCCGCGCACATTGGCTGACCCGGGTTTGCGAAGACCTGCGTTGCAGTTTTTTTGTCCTGCATTGCAGTTTTTTGGTTTCCTGCTGACCCGGGTCTGGATTGACCCGGGTCAGAAGATCCCCGAAGGGACCCCGTGCCGAAAAAATCAGGCCGTCGCATATGTCTGGAAGCAGGGGGCCGCGGCGCGCAGGGAGAGGGGCCGGGCGAGGGGCTGCTCTATCGGAGTGTTCCCCCCCTGTCTTCTCTGAGGGCCATTCGCCCTCTCCTTGCTCCCCTTCTGCGCGCCGCCAGAGGGATCCGATGGATGATGGTGCCAGCGACGTTGACGATGGTAATCTTAGGTCGGACCTGTCCCTCTACAGGGAGAAAATTCCAAAATAGCCAAAAAATCGTTTGGGGACTATGTTTTGACTATTTTTGAGTATTTAGGGGGGCATTTTTGTTCAATCGTTTTCATTTTTCGCTCCAAATCCCCCTGTAGGGGGACACGCCCGACTTAATGCTAATCTCGGTGTCAGCGAGTGGTGATGGTTGCGATGTCGATGGTGATGCTGACTTGAGCGACCGCGACGCAGACTATGAACTATGACACAGATTGCCCTTGCTTTGCGGCGGCGCGCCAGGCGGCGCGCTCGAGAAAATCTCCGCAGCGGCTGCCACTTCTGCCGGGCACCTGGCTGCGCCAGGCGGCTGCCGCGGCCGACCGCGCACGCCTCCCTAGGCCTTCTGCCCATCCACGCCCGCGCCGTGCCCACGAACTCGGGGATCAACGTCCCAGGGCGAGCCGGACAGCCCCGGCCCAGGACCCCCTTTCCATCCTCTGCACAGGCGGGCGCCCCTACGGGGGGGGGGGGGGGCAGGGCGCCCTCCAGGGCGGTGGCCCAGGAGGGCCACGCGGCCGCCACAGCTCGCCCCACCTACCTGTCCTACCTCTCCGTGATTGGTGTGCTGATGGTATGATGTCTCTCTTCCTCCCTCCTGTTCTGCGGGGCCTAGGCCCCAAATGTTGTCTTTTGGTATACTCCCCCAGGGGGGGCCGACTGGGCCCCCCCCGGGGGAAGCGGCAGCGTCTGAAGACTCCGCTGCCGCCAGTGCTTCAGGAGGATGATGATGATGATGATGATGATGATGATGATGATGATGATGATGATGATGATGAGGAGGAGGAGGAGGAGGAGGAGGAGAGGGAGGAGGAGGAGGAGGAGGAGGGAGGGAGGAGGAGGAGGAGGAGGGAGGAGGAGGAGGAGGATGGAGGAGGAGGAGAGGAGGGAGGAGGAGGAGAGGAGGAGGAGGGAGGGAGGGAGGGGGGGGGAGGGGGGGGGGGAGGGAGGGGGGGAATGGAGCGAGCAAGAGGGAGGAACCGCCGCCCCCCTGCTCTGGCAGGGCCGCACCAGAGTGGCCGCTGCCCTCGCGGCAACGGCGCTGCTGGCGCGCGGGCCGGCGCGCGCGGCGGCGGAGCCGACGCAGGCGCGCTCTGGCTCGGCACGAACGAAATGGGTATGGAAAGAATGGGTACAATGCCCAATAGCGGTTCCTGTTCCTTTTGAACAGGACTCGCTGTCGGTGTTGCCGCGGCCTGTGTACATTTGAGACAGACGGCCGCCTGCCCAACAGCGGCCACTGTTGCTTTGGGACAACATTTGTTGTTGGGCATTGTGCCAATTTGTTCCGTACCCATTTCGGGCGTCCAAATTGGCGCGCCCCGCGGGTTGAGCGGGCCGTGCAGCGAAGCTCCCCAGACCCCCATCGCGCAGCGAACGAAAAACACGACGGGAGGTTTGTGGCGATGTTCGGCCTCCAGGGTGAAGTCCGGCCTGTCCCTCTACAGGAGGACGATTCAAGAATAGTCAAAACAAAGTCTGGGGATTATTCTTCGATTGTGTTCGGACAATTTGGGAGTATTCAGTTTTTTTTCATCCAAAATCCCCCTGTAGGGAGACAGGCCCGACTTAACTCCAGGGGTCCTTGCCGGGCTCCAGGACCGTCAACAAGGAAATCAGGATGAAAAGCCAATCCAGGGGAAGGGGTCCAGACCTCTGGGGGTCGACGTCGAGAAAAAGATCACGACGTCGAGGGTCTGAGTCTGGGCCGTAAGCGATTAACATCCGCATCCGCAGTCTTGCGAGCTGGGCCCTTGGGCTGGGACCCTGCGGAAGCGAAGCGTTTTTTCGCGGACGCTCCTCGCGGAGAGTGTCCGTGCGACCGTGAATCCGCGGGATCGCGCTCCGTGATCTGGACCGCGAGGGCGCGGGTCGCCGCGTGTAAGAAGCGCTCGTCCCCGTCACTGCGATAGGCTCGCGTTGGAGACCCCCCCTCGAGTCGCAAAAATGCCACGACGGGGAGGGAGGGGGAGGGCGTTTCTGGCATCCAGGGGCCCTCGTCTGGCCCTGGGGGCCGTCGGAAACGATTCAGGATGCAAAACTGGCCCTTGGGAAAGGGTCGGGAGTTCCGGGGAGGGGACCCCGCTTTCAGAAATTCAGTCGTCGGATCTCTGGGACGGAGGTTTTTCGTCTTGGCATCGCTCGGACGTGTGCATTTCTTCTCGGCGAGAACCTTCGAGGACCATCCTGGACCATCGATCACAAAAAAAACACGCACGAAACCGAAAAATTGCACGGGAAATGGACGTCCGAGCGACGGCAAGGTCGTCGGATCTCTGGGACGGAGGTTTTTCGTCGTTGTCGGTGGCCTGGGGCCCTCAAAGGGCCCTCAAGGGGTTCTCCGGGAGGATCAGCTGACTCAGGGAAGCGGTCCAGAGCTCCGGAGACCGCGCGTGGACAAAGTCAAGACGAACGCATGTACACATTGTTCATCTCTAATTATTCGAAAGTTCTTTGATTTTTTTCTTGGGGGCCAAGATCCTTTCGTTTCTAATTCTTCTATCCTGGGCCTCTTCCTGGCCACTAGTGGGCCAGGAGCAACTAGAATCGAGCACAATTAGAAATGAGCAGGATTAGAAAGGAACGACGTGTACGGGCTCGTCCCCGTCCTTGCGGTAGGCCCGTACCGCCTCGACACACGGCGCGCGTCCGAAGCGGCCTCGTCCTCGGCACGCCCTCTCCTCGGCGGAGCAGAAGCGCAGCGGAGGGCGCGGAAGTAAAAGTGAGACGTCAACATGTTTGGGTCCAGGGCTTCTGGAATCGGCCATCTTGGCGCTCAAGGTGGAACAACGGCCTTTGGGAGGTCCGCCGCGGGTCCCCCCCTCCGCCCTGAGTGGGATTTTGGCGGGATGGCACACGCCCCGGTACTGAGCAGCAGTTCGGTGGCCAGCAACACGACGGTGAGCATCAGCGCAAGTCGGTCATCTGTTCATCATCTCGAGGGGTCTGGGCGACTCCTCCCTCACAGCACAGTGCCTCAGCAGCCAGCAGCTCGGCTGGGAGCAGCAGCGCAATTTCAATTTCCGCGGGCGATGCGCCTTCGTTTGATGATATCATGGCCTGTGGGTCGCCGTCTTGGTTCCATCCTCTGCCTGCCATCGCTCGGACATGTGCATTTCTTTCTTGGCGAGAACCATCGAGGACCATCCTGGGCCACCGAGCAAAAAAAAAAACGCACGACACCGAACAATGGCACGGGGAATGGACGTCCGAGCGATGGCAAGTCTGTCTCTTCGTCGTCGCATCGGTCTTCTTCGAGCTGATGCTGCCGGGGCCCACCGTGCGCACGCGCCCTGCGCGTTGCCCCCGGGGGGGCACAGGCAGCCGACCTGTTGCACCGTTCTCGGGCCTGCCGCCTACAGCCCCGCCCCGCGCCTGGCGTCTGCCGATGCTTAGTGTTTGTGTGTTGAGCTGCGGCTGCCCGCCCCGGCCGCCTGAGGCCCCGCCTTCCTGTGCCCCGTCCCCCTAACTAAAGCTGTGCGCAGCCCGCCCAGCTTTTCGCGGAAGAGGCTTGCTCTCGCCCCGCAGATCAAAAGTGTTGAGCTGCTGCTGGTAAGTTCGGGTCGGGGGAAAGGGGGGGGTTGGGAAAGGGGGGGTTACGAAATCTGCTGCATGCAGCTGGTTTGGCCCCTCCGCTGGGCCCATTCCTCAATACATGGGCGCCTCCCGGCGCCGGGAGGCGCCGGGAAAATCAGCTACGTGAGCTGATTCTCAAACTCCCCCTTTGCTATCCCCCCCTTTCGCCCGGCCCGGTAAGTGCGCGCGCCCCTTCTCACCTCGCAGATCTCCACCTTCCCGCCTCACCGAACTCGCGCCTCATGCGCGATGGGGTCAGCGGTCTCCTTCCCGTCGGCTGCGTCTCGACACGAGGCGGGGAGTTGCTTCACCAGGGTCGCGCGAGGCAGGACTGCGATGGCCCCCGCAGCCGTGGATAGGAGTCAGGGGGGCGAGGGGGGGCCGCCGGCAGTCTGAGAGGCTCCTAAGAATTATCCCAGTGCGACCCTACCTAGGAGTTGGAGGATCTAGGAAATCAGCACCTATATGAAGCTAAGCTAAGCCAAGATGAAGCTAAGCTAAGATGAAATAAGCTAAGCTGAGTTGAGATAAGCAGCGCTAAGCTAAGGGAGCGTCACTGGGGGAACCGCGGGGTGGATGCCGGGGGAACCGCCCGGGGCGAGTTGCACTGCCCGGCCCTTCAAGCAAACCGAGTAAGAACCCTTCTAGGCAGAGCCTAGGTAGGGAAAAAGGTGGAGAAGCCCCCGCCGCGGGTCGCGGGCGGCTCGAGGGCGAGTCGCGGACGGGTCGAGGGCGGGTCACGCGCGAGTCGCAGGCGGGTCACGAGTGGATCGCGGGCGGGCCGCGGGCGAGGACGACGGCAACGACGGGCAGCAGAAATCCTCCTCCCCCCCCCCCCCTGGCACGACGCTGTGCCTCCTCCCCCTCCTCCTCCTCCTCCTCCTCCTCCTCCTCCTCCTCCTCCTCCTCCTCCCTCCTCCTCCCTCCTCCTCCTCCTCCCCCTCCCCCTCCTCCTCCTCCTCCTCCTCCTCCTCCTCCTCCTCCTCCGGATCCCGATCCTCGATCCCCCACCGCCCCCATCGTGGGAGCCCGCACCGCTGAAACCCACTTCGGCCACGCAGACGGGCACAGTGTAAGACTCTTCGGCCCTCTTCACTCCGATGCAAGAAGTTGTTCGGGACAAAGCGGATGCACACGCACAACAGGATTGTCCGTACCTCCCTCGCCGGGCCAGCACCTCCAGGCCGTTGCGCGTTCTTCGTGGCCGTTGGCGTCTCACTGCGCCTCGGCAGGAAATACAGGCTTTGCAGCGGCCTGGCACAGCAGTGTGCACAAGACGCGCGGTTCTCGCCGCTTGTCCGTGGTGCATGTCGTCCCAGGGTCACACATACTTGGTCTTGTTTTGTCGTCCTGAGGTTGTGTTGAGCTGAGTGTATTCTTCGTCGCCCTCATCGTCACCGTCGTCGTCAGCATAACCGTCGTCACCATCATCATCATCAGCATCACCTTCGTCTTCGTCACCACCATAATGATCAGCATCACTATCATCGTCATCGTCGTCGCCATCAGCATCATCAGCAGCAGCAACATCATCATCAGCATAATCATCATCATCTTCACCACCATCATCATCACGACCATCATTAGCATCATCATCAGCATCATCATTATCATTATCGTTGCCATCACCACCATCACCACACCACCAACATCGCCATCATCATCATCATCATCATCATCGTCATCAGCTTCAGCATTGTCATCATCAGCACCAACACCCTCATCAGCATTATCATGACCATCATCATCGTCGTCGGAATCGTCAGCATGATCGTCACCACCAGCACCACGCCACCAACATCGCCACCAACATCATCATCATCATCAACAACATCACCACCACCAACATCACCACCATCAACATCACTACGATCACCAGCAGCATAACCATAATCATGACCAACATCAGCAGCAGCATCATCATCAGCATCATGATCATCAGAGGCATCATCATCATCCTTATCACCATCACCGTCAGTATCATCATCAACATCATCATCATCATCACCACTACCATCACCAGCATCATCACCATCACCATGGCCATCACCATCAACACCACCACCACCACCATCATCGTCATCTTCTTCATCATCATCATCATCATCATCATCATCATCATCATCATCATCATCATTATAACGACCATCATCGTCTGCATCACCTCCATCATCATCATCAGCATCATCATCACCATCATCATCATCATCATCATCAGCAGCAGCAGCATCATCACCATCAGCATCATCGGCATCATCGTCGTCATCATCATTATCATCGTTGTCGTCATCGTCCGCAGCAGCAGCCTCATGATATCCGCCCTCCAGGTGGAGGTCTCGGGGCGCCGGCTCCTGGTGGGTGGCGCCCCCTTCCACATCAAGGGCGTATGCTGGACCCTCGCCCCGCGAGGGGGAGACGAGGTAGGCAGGAACGGAGGAGGCGGAGAAGGAGGAGGAGGAGTAGGAGGAGGAGGAGGAGGAGGAGGAAGAGGAAGAGGAGGAGGAGGAGGGGGGAGAGAGGAGGAGAGGGGAGGAGGGGGAGGAGGAGGAGGAAAGGAGGGGGGAGGGGGGGGAGGAGGAGGAGGAGAGGAGGAGGAGGAGGAGGAAGAGGAGGAGGGAGGAGGAGAGGAGCGCCGCGTCCGCTCCCCAGCCCACGCCCAAGGGCACGGGAGAGACCCGCGCGGGGCTCCGTTTTGGGGAAAGCGGCGGCGCGAGCGCGGAGGAGGAAGACGCGGTAGCCTTGGGAGGTCGAGGCAGAGAGGGAGGGGCGACGGAGGGAGCACGCACGCAGGAGCCAAGGAGAGTGGGGCCGGACTTTCGCGTTCCTTTTGTTCCCTCCCCTTCCCTCCCCCTCTTCCCTCCACTTCCTCCCTCCCTGCTCCCCCCCCCCTTCTGGTTCCCTCCCTCTTTTGTCCCCTCTCCCCTTCCTTCCCTCCCCCCTCTGCCCTCCCCTTTGCCCTTCCCTGCTTCCCTCCCCTTCTTCCCTCCCTGTTCCCTCCTCTCCCTCCCTGCTCCCTCCCCTTCTCCCCTCCTCTCCCTCGGCTGGCGTGTGCGGTGTGCAGCCCTGGCGGGTGGCACCCGGTCGGACGTGGTGTGCGGTGTGCAGCCCTGGCGGGTGGCACCCGGTCGGACGTGCTTGCTGACGCTGCTGCCGGGAAGGCGGGCGGGGGGGAGTCGGAGCGCAGCGAGCGGGCGGCGCCTCGCGGCGTGCTGCCGCAGCCGGCCTCTCGTCGGTGCCAGTGCCTTGGCGTCGCTCGGACGTGTGCATTTTGTCTCGGCGTGGGCCATTGAGGAGCATGTTTGATCATTTGGCGAGAAGTGCACCCACGAAATCGAAAAATGCACGGGGAATGGACGTCCGAGCGATGGCGAGGGGCGCTGATCGGGGCCGCGGCAGCGCAGAGGCGAGGCAGCGGAGGAGAGCCGCCCTGTCCAGCGGCCCTGAGATCTTGGCGTCCCAGCTTTTCCGAGCCGGGCGTTCTCGTCTTCCGGCGCGAGCAAGGACGCAGAAAGATGAGGTCAAAGGCTGCGGGCGTGATTTGTCACGGTGTTGTCATTTTTTCGCTGGGTCGGATCTCAGGGGATGTCCAGTGGGACTCGGCGCCACCCCGAGTCTCACTGGACATCGGCGCCACCCCGAGGCTGGGCATTCTGCAGTGTGGATTCTGAGGATGCTGCATGGATTTGTCCATCCGGGGTTTGGATTTGCGCGTGGATTCCGCGGCGGAACCCATAGAAACATACAAACAAAAACTGGTATGGATTCCCTTGTGGATTCTGCGTGGACTTTCCCCACTGCAGACCATGTAAAATCATGTGGAATCCTGGCGCTGGAGAGGGGAGGGAATCCAGGCGGAATCTGGCCGGACTTCACGCGAGAACTCATGCGAGCATCCACGCGAGCATGCTACGCACGCACAGCGGCGGTCAGCAACGGGAACCCATCCTGCCAGGTGTCCTGCCTGGCGATGTCCACTAGGCCTGGCATCGCTCGGACGTGTGCATTTTTTCTCGGCGAAAACCATTGAGGACGATCCTGGACCATCGAGCAACAAAAAAACACGCACGAGACCGAAAAACGTACGGGAAATGGACGTCCGAGCGATGGCGAGTGGGGCTCGGCGCCACCCCGAGTCCCACTGGACGTCGGGACGCGCCGACGGGGCGTCCCGGCTCGCGCAAGCTCCAAGTACTTGTCGTGGAGTCGTGCTCCGTGCAGTTCCTGGATGCGTGGCGTTCCGGAAGGGGCCTCGCTTTTCGAGGGCCTGAGGAGGAGGAGGAGGAGGAGGAGGAGGAGGAGGAGGAGGAGGAGGAGGAGGAGGGGGAGGAGGAGGGGGAGGGGGAGGAGGAGGAGGGGGAGGAGGAGGAGGAGGAGGAGGAGGAGGAGGAGGAGGAGGAGGAGGAGGAGGAGGAGGAGTTGCCACGTCTTCCTCGGCGGGAGGCGGCGGAAGAGCGGCAGAACCCTGCGGAAGTAAAACGAGACCGCGGAAGCCAGCGGAGGTAAAACACGCGCCCCCCAGAGATGGCACCATTCTTGGCTTCGGGGTTCCAAGATCCGGCCATGTGGAGCTTGGAGGTGTTCCCGAGCTCGCTGGTGTACTGGCGCTCTCTGGTCCCTCGCCACGGGAAATGCGAGTCCAGGGTGCAGGTCGCGTCGAGGTGGGAAGATTCGTAGACAGCACAATGCTGCCTGGGTTTCCCTTCGTCTCAGGCAGAAGTACTACGGGCAACGCAGGGAGGGTGTTCGCTGTACCCCTGCATCATTTGCGGTGTTTCGGCTTCTTGAATCTAGTCCCAGGCGGTTCGCCGAAAGGGGCAGCCCGCGCTTAGATGGAAAGGGTCGGTGTACATTCATGCACTGCTGGCTGAGCTGAGCTGCCTCTTGCACCAGTCGGATAAACGCCAGCGAGGCATGATATAATGACGACTGCAGGAGAATAGGTCAACTCCTCGGACGATGCTGAGGGAGACAATAGGATTGAAAATATTAGCGCCCTTCGAGATGGTTCATCGGGTGACCATCGAGGAGTGGGAGTCCCCCAAGCCGACAGGCAGATTGGAGGGCGGCACGCCGTTATTGCAGCCAACGGGCTGTAAATAGCAAAAGAGTGCCCAATCATCCTTGTTGCTGTTACTGGTCCTTCACTTTCTCTTCCTCATCTTGATCATCAGACTCACGATCTGGGTTACCACGCCTGCTGTTCCTCCTTCTCTGCCTTCCTCTATGTAAGTATCCTCTATCCTCGCCGCTTCTCTTTCTCCTTCTCGTCTGTGCCTTGTCCTTCCTTATCCTGCTCTCGCAGCTGCTGCAGACCCAGACTACTTCCTTCGTTCTGATATGTAAAATCAGTGCCCGCCCCAGGCTATCGACCGCTCCCTTGAACCAGCATCCCATCGCGGTTCACCTTTATTGCCGTGGTACCCGAAACAGGACCAAACGGGCCAACCACACACAAAACAAGAACAGCCGCAGCAACGCTGGAGGTTTGGGTACTGGCACTGCTCACGCAGCAGCTGCGGACACCGCTGCCGACCGTTCCTTCCCATCTTCAGGAACCCAGTGCCGAGTGGTGGCACCCATCCGGCGGACCTCGACTTCGCGGGCTTCGCGGCCACGGACGCGGAGCTGATGGCCATCGCAGGCGCGCGGCGCCGCCGCCGCCGACGACGACGACGACGCCGTCGAGGGGTCGAGATGACCGCTCGCCCCTCGGCGGAGGCCAGCGGGGAGGCCGTCGGAAGCAGCACGACGGCAGACATGTGGCGGAAGCCAGCGGGAATCAGCAAGGGGCGGGGCGGGGGCACGAAGATGCCACTTGCCTCTGCTCGCTCTCGGTCGGGCCGCTGGGTCAGCATGATTAGTGCCTCTTCCAGCGCCGTCCCCACGGTCGTCCAGAGCCCCACGCGAGACTTCTTGAGTCGAATGATCATCGGGGGTGGCGCGCGTCAGGGAATCAGTGGTGGCGTGCCCAGGGTTTCCAGAGTCGGCCACGTGCACTTTGTTGCGGTTAACTTCCCCCCCTCGTGGCATGTCGCCATGGCGCAGGGAGGGTGTTGATTGCGTCGGACACGATGGGCCTGGCAGATGAGAGCAGACCTGTAAGAGGGACTTGGGACCAGCCATGAAAGTACGCGCTAAACAGGAGAGGGATGAGGAGGAAATGAAGGAGAGAGTGCAGCAGAGGAGGGATAGGCGCGGGGAGGAGATGGAGGAGCGGGAGCAAACATGGGAGCAAGAGCAGGAGTGCGCGAGTAGCAGTTGGGATCAAGTTGGCCAGGGCGAGTGAGTCAGAGGGCCACGCCTATGCCCACCCTCCCCCCCACAACATAATCTCAGGAGGGGAAACACACACACAGACATAATTAATCGTCGATTCCCAAGAAAATATGGGAAAATATGGGAAGTGGGGGGGAAGACAAACACCCAGAACATATGGGAAAATATGGGGGATCTTTTTATTTGTGTGTATTTATTTGTGTGTCCCAGGGCCCCTTCAGAATCATCAGGTGTGGCACGACGTGGTACTGCGATTGGAAGGCGGTCCGACCTCGAGAAAACGGAAGGCGCTCGCGCGCCGCGGCCCCGCCCCCGATCGACTCGGCGGAGGGAAAGCGCTAAGCGCGGGCCGCGCAGCGGCGGGACCAGCAGACATTCCCGAGGGGCGCGGCGCAGAGGCGCAGCGCGCGCCGCGCCGAAGCAGCAAGGAGGAGGAGCGAGGGAGGAGGAGGAGGAGGAGGAGGAGCGAGGGAGGAGGAGGAGGAGGAGGAGGAGGAGGGAGGAGGAGCGAGGAGCGAGGGAGGAGCGAGGGAGGAGGAGGAGGAGGAGCGAGGGAGGAGGAGGAGGAGGAGGAGGAGGAGGAGGAGGAGGAGCGCCACGTCACGCAAGATTCGCGCGGGGCTGCGGCAGGGACGCCCCCCCCCGCCCGCGCTCGCGCGGCCCCCGCCGCCGCTGCCGCCTCTGCGCGTGCTGCGGAGCACGAGCCAGGCGCCGCGCCCCCGCGCGGGAGGCGCCCCCCCTGCGCGCGGCAGGCGCGCGAGGCTTTTGGGCGAGGGCGACAGGAGTCGCCCCCCCGCGCAGGCCCCCCGACACTTGGCGAGCGACACAGATGTGCGCCACGCCGCTGCGGGAGCGACGCGTCCGGGGCGAGATCCGCGCGGCGCCGCGGCGAGAGCTGCAGAGTTCGCCCGCTCGCGCGTCGACGGATGGAAGGCGTGCGAGAGCGCGCCGCGCCCCCGCGGGAGCCCAGAGCCCTCTAGAAACAGGAGCGCGTCGCCGAGGAGAGGAAGCGACGCGACATGTCGGCCTTGCGCGCGGGAGGTGCGCCCAGTCCCAGTCCTGCCATGCCGGTTGCAGCATGGACTGCGCCATGTGGAGACGAGAGTCGTCGTCTTTGTTTTGAAACTGTCAGGCAGGACGGGAGGGCCCGGATGAGTGGGCGATCGGCCGGCGACGTGTCAACGCGGGAGTACTTACTGGTAAGGAAAACAGGGACAGGAGCAGCTAGGAGTCAAGCTAGCCAGGCCTGACGAGCCGCCGGGCCCTACCCATCCCGACCCTCCCTCTCATAACGTGAGAATCAGTGTTGGCAGAACTGCATCTTTGGATTGGAACGCATTCCCACCCTGCGCGCGGAAGGCGTTCGCGCCCGGTCCCGCTTCCGACGACTCGGCCAGGGGGACATCGCGCAGGCCGCGCACGGGCAGGATTGAAATTTCCATAGATTCGTTTCACGGCGCTGCGGCGAGAGCACGCCTTGGGTTTTTGTGCGGGCGGCCAAAATTTCGATGTCCGTTGCGAAGACTCTGCACGAACGAAATGGGTACGGAAAGAACGGTCGCAATGCCCAACAACAGCTCGTGTTCCTCTTGAATCGGACGCGCTGTCCGCGCCGCCGCGGCCTTGTGTCCATCTGAGACAGGAGGCCGCCTGCCCAACAGCGGCCGCTGTTGGTTTGAGACCACATTTGTTGTTGGGCATTGTGCCCATTGTTCCGTACCCATGTCGGGCGTCCAGAGAGACGAAGCGTGCGCCGCGCCGCAACAACATTGCCATGTTCACCAAAAGTTGCACGACGTTTCTCAGGAGGGAAAGAAACACACAGACACAATTAATCGGCGTTTCCCCAGAACATATGGGGAAAATATGGGAAGTGGGGGGGAAGACAGAAACCCAGAACACATACGGGAAACTATGTGGACTCCTTTTATTTGTGTGTATTTATGTGTGTGTCCTGGGGCCCCTTCAAAGACGAAGCGTGCGTCGCGCCGAAACAACATTGCCATGCTCACCATAAAGTTGCACGACGTTTCAGCGAGCACACTTTTTCGCCCGCTCCCGCGCGGCCCCCAGTGCCGCGTCCCCGCGAGCCGGGCGAGCACAACGCAGGTGCCGCGCCCACAAAAGACCCCCACCTCCAGGCGATACTGTGAGCGGCTTGAGTAAGGAACACTTACTTTCCAAAAGGGACTCGGTCGTTCCTTAGATTTTACATCCGTTATTTACAGTTCCTTATGCGTTATGTGTTATTGCTCATTCCTTATGCGTTGTTCCTTGGGATAAAAGCGGCTTCGTTCCTTATTTATCGTTCCTTAGGTCAGCGCCCCGACTGTATCTGCACGGACTTTGGGCAAGAGCCACCGCCGAAGGCCACTGCGGTCGAAGGCCCCTCCTCGCGCGCGATCTTCGCAGCTGCGTTGGGAAACATCGGCCGCTCAGGTGTGATCGACGCGAAAACTGGTCCGACTGCGCGACATTCGCGCGCCAGCCTCTCGCGTAAGGTCGCGCGTAAGCGCCCTCGTCTCCAGTGTGATTTGCCGCGCTGGCGGCCCGCGTAAGCCACCGCGCAATCTCGCTGCGCCACCTCGCGCGAGACCCGCTTTTGATCGTTGCGCATGGGCAAATTTCAGGAGGGGAAAAAACACACAGACACAATTAATCGTCCACTTCCAGGAAAATGTGGGAAAATATGGGAAGTGGGGGGGAAGACAAAAACCCAGAAAATATGGGAAAATAGGGGGAATCATTTTATTTGTGTGTATTTTTTTGTGTGTCCCAGGGCCCCTTCAAAATTGCCCCACGAAGCGAACGCCTGACGAGGGACGCGCACCTGGCCCGATCGGCGACCGTGCGGCGGGCGAGCCTCCCCGGGCCCGCGATCTCTCGAGGGAGCCCGCCGCGGTTCGCCCCGGCTGCAGCATGTTCCGAGGGCGGTACGGCGAACCCCGCGCGCGCATGGAGAAAGTCCACCGCTTCTCCGAACACGGCTCTCACAGTCGGGGCCCTGAAGAAGGAACCCTTTTCGTTGGGGAGGGGCTCCATGTTCCTTACTTGTTTCGCAGCTTGCCTTAGATGTTCCTTAGGTCTTCGATGCGAAGTCGAAGTTTAACTTATGGAGAATAGGGGCCTCGTTCCTTATCTAGGATTCCTTAGGTCAACGCCTCGACTGTACGTCGCAGCGCGGCAGAGGCAGCCCGCACGCGCGGTCGCGCAGGCCGCGCGGCGGCATTGCGAGTTGTCCGGCGGCAGGAGCGAGAAAGAGGGGGGAGGGGGCGGCCGCGGGGCGGGGGGAGGGAGGGAGGACGCTCACGCGGCGGGAGCCGCTGCGGAGCCGCTGCGGGGCGGCCAGCCCGTGTTGTCCACCCATCGAAACACGCACCGCTCGCATCGCTCGGACGTGAGCAAATCTCCTCGGCGAGGACAACCGGTTTGCATCCTGGGTCGTCCTGCGAGGAGAGCACGAGCTCGGAGAATGCGCGAGGAGTGGACGTCCGAGCGACGGCGAGGAAAAAGATACGCAAACTCAAACTTTCCGTGTGGGTCTCTTGGATCGGCGATGGACCCCCTTGTCGGCGCCCCTGGCGCCGCCCCCTGCGCGCTCCGCGCGCCAAGGGGGGGGCGTCTGGCGCCGGTCCAAGACATCCGCGCGGAGCTCAGAAAACGTTATATTTATTTTGTGGTGGTTTTGCTATTTTTCCCAAGTGGTGTTGGGTCCTCGTTTTGAAGGGGCAGCGCCCCGCGTTCCTCCTCTCCTCCTCCTGCTCCTCCTCCCTCCTCCCATCCTTTCCCCAGCGGGAGCTCCACCGATGGCCCCAGTAGCAGGGTTCGCACAGCGGCCTCGGGCGATTTCGGCGCACCCTTCACGAGGATCGTGGCCTCATAGGGAGCTCCACCGAAGGCCCCAGTGGCAGTGTTCGCATGGCGGCCTCGGGCGATTTCGGCGCACCCCTCATATTTTTCGTGGCCCCATCGGGAGTTCTGGACGAAGGCCCCAGTGGCAGCGCCCGCATGCGTCCCCCGCTCACTTCGGCACGCCACACGCACGTTTCAAGGCTCCCATCCGCGTTGCCCCGTGCACCATCCCCTTCGCGTCGCGCTACTTATCATGAGAGGGGCAGATCCTGCGATGCTCGCAGCTGCAAATCTGCTTCGGCCCTTCGCCAGGCCAAGTCTTCCAACGCAGCGGGACTGCCGGCAACGAGCGGCCCATTTCGTCTGCGACCCAGGCGCGCAAAGCGAGCCCTCCGACGAGGGGGGGGGCCCGCGGAATGGGGTCGCCCACCGCCGGTGAAGGAGGAGCGGCACGTCCGTCGTTCGAGGCTGCCGGGGCCCTCGCGAGCGCTGCTCCTCTCCGGCGATCTGCCACCGCGCGAAGGGTGGGCAGGTGCCAAAGGGGATCACCGCCAGGGGAGGTATCACATCTAATCCATCTCGTCCTCGTCCTCCTCCTCCTCCTCCTGCTTCTCCTCCTCCTTCTCCTCCGCCTCCTGCCACCCCGTGGAGATCAGCGAATTCCAGCGAATTCCTCCTCCTCCTCCTCCTCCTCCTCCTCCTCCTCCTCCTCCTCCTCCTCCTCCTCCTCTCCTGTATTGATGGTCGACCATCCTTCTCGTCCTCCCCCGATGCTGCCCCCCCCCTCGAGGCATCAACGTCGTGCGGACGTACGAGGCGCGCCCGCTGCTGGCCGCTGGCCTCGCGATCCCCCCAGGGAGCGTCGGTGCGGGCGTGGGCCCGGAGAGGGTGGCGGGAAGCCCCGCCCGAGCCCTTCTCGACTACACGTAAGAGTGACCTTTCGCCGGAGTGACCTTTGGTGCGGGCCCAATGGGGTCCCCCGATCGCTGAGCGCGAAGCGGTAGCAGCGGCTTGCGCGCCCAGGTTTGGCCACCCCGCGTCCCCCGTTTCGCCGCGCACCAAAGGTCACTCTTACCCAGGGTCACTCTTACGTGTAGCCGACCCTTCACGGGGGGAGGCGGGAAGGAGGAGCAGGAGGACGAGCGGAGCGGAGAGATAGGAGGCGGCGGGATGCATGCCTTCCTGACGGATCCCCGGGCCCGGGTGGTGTTGCTAGCAGCAGTGGGCGTTCAAAGACCGCCACGCCAGCCCAAGCATCCATGAGTGCTCGAGGAGCCTGAGTCATCGTTCGTGCTTGCCTGTGCGGGCCACGCCGGGTTCACGAACACTCCGACTAACCTGATCACTTTCTACAGGGGGCGAAGGAGGTGGGACGAGCAGAGGGAGGGGGAGGGAGATGAGGGAGGGGAGATGGTGGGAGAGGGAGGGGGAGAGGACAGGGGAGGGGGAGGGGGAGGGGGAGGGGAGGAGGTAGGAGATGGGCGAAGAGGGGACGGGGAGGAGGTGGGAGAGGGCAGGGGAGGGGACTGGAAGGAGGTGGGAGAGGGAAGAGGAGCGAGGGGAGGATGTGGACGCCTCGCCTCCGTGCTTCCCGCTCCGTGGCCCTGGCCCTCAGAGACCTGGCCGCCCCGTGGAGCACGCAGGAGATGGGGCACCGGGAGCGCCTGCGACAGCGGCAGCGCCGCCACCCCACCTGCAGCCCCGGAGGCCAAGGGTATGCGCACGTGGGACGGTCATGGGGAGCTCTCCAGAAACATTGCCCCGACAATCGCATGCTTCCTGCGCTGAGACGTAGCACCCTGGCGAAGGACCCAACCATGTCCAGGTGCGAGCGCCGCAAAGCAGGTGGACGTTGAGGACGGGGCGAGCAAAACGACGAGGGCATACGTGAAGAAGATGGAACGTGTGAGAGGGGTGCCGACATGGGGTGGGTGGGCACCGCATGCGGACTCTTCCATTGGGGCCTTCAGTGGAGCTCCCTATGGGGCCACGAAGCGTGTGAGGGGTATGCCGAAATGGAGCGGGTTCGCCATACGGACGCTGCCGCGCCACGAATCGTGTGAGCGGTGTGCCCACGGTACCGCATCGGACCCTTCCACTGGGGCCTTCGGTGGAGACGACCGCGCGGCGCCGCCCCAGGCTGCGTCCCCTCGTCGTCGTTCCCCCCCCCCCCCCTCCTCGACGTCCATCTCCATGGCCCCAGAGTTGGAGTTGGGAGGAGGAGGAGGAGAGAGGAGGAGGAGGAGGAGGAGGAGGAGGGAAAGGAGGAGAAGGAAGAGGAGCAGGAGGAGGAGGGGGAGGAGGAGGAGGGGGAGGAGGAGGAGGAGGAGGAGGAGGAGGGGGAGGAGGAGGAGGGGGAGGAGGAGGAGGAGGAGGGGGAGGAGGCCGTAGCCATTTTGGCCCAAGGCTAAACGGAGAACGCTGAAGTGACATAGCTGACTCTGATTAGTTTTGGCCCGTGCGTCGCTCTGTGTCGAGAGATTCAGGGCCTCCACTTCCCGTCGTGAGCCGGTGTTCCGTCGACGACGGTTGCTTTCCTTTCACAATCTCACAGCCGTTTCGGCCACAGTTTCCTCCCGCACGGGCCCCGCTTGGGCCGCTGCCTGCAGGGCATGATGCTGCCAAGGCTCGTGAGTCGGCTGATGCCGTGGAGCCCCGATCGCGCTCCAAGGAGCCCGCCAGGGTATCGCGCGGCGTTGGGCGGCCCCCTCACGCTGGTGGTTGGTCTCCTGATCCTATGCAGGCAGATGGTGGTGACCCCTGGGCTCATGGATCTGATGGTGGGGCCCATGGTCGTCAGCACGCTGAGCCTGCTCCTGTATCTCCTGCTGGTGCTGCCTCTGATGCGCCTGGCTCGTCTACTTCATCGGGCTCTGAGCCGGAGAAGCTCCTGGCCAAGTTCAAGCTGGAGATTGGGGGTTCGGTCGACAGGCGCTTCGCGGACGTCAGAACCTCCATTGTGCAGGAAGTCCAGTCGGCCACCACTGTGCTGGTTAAGTTTGTGGCCACACAGCAGGAGGCCGTCAATGTCCAGGTGGCGGACGAGCTCACGGAGTTGCGAGCCAACCAGTCTGCTTACGAGCGGGACCAAGCCGTCATGCGAGAACAAATTGAGCAGTTGCAGCGCCAGCTGCACATCTCCGAGACCACGGTGCCGATCAAGGACTACGAGGGCCACATGGAGCGGGACAGAGACCCGGATGGCACGATTTTCATTGCGAACGCCACCGCGGACGCCCAGCTAGCCAAGGTGCAGGAGCAGTTGGGTCCGTGGTTTGTGGAGGCGGGTTTTGACGAGTTCCCAGAGGTCGTTGCAGGCAGCTTCTCCTGGACGGCGCTTCGTTGTGCAGTTCAATGGCGATGCGAATGCGGCGAAGCGTCAATTATTGTAAGCTCGGCGTCATCTCAAGCTTTCTGACGGATCTTTCAGGACTTTCAACGTGGAGACCATCGAGGGTGGCAGCTCAAGGATCTTCGTGGGCTTGGACAAGGCAGCGAGGATGGTACGGCGAGAGATTCAGACAAAACGTCGGGCTTTTTTTATCAGACAAGCGAGTTCGTCATGATCGCTCCAAAGACACCATCTACATGGAGGGCTCCACGATGGTCAACCTCGAGATCGGTTTCGACTGGCATCAGAGCACGAAGGATCTTTGGAACTATGCGGTGACCCAGAAACAGAGTGTGGACAAGGATGTTATAGTGGGTCGTTTCAGTGCGTTCACGCCTCAGATGAGGTTCGGTGGCGGGTTTTTGCGGTACGATGTCGCCGTGGATCGAGGGCCTTTCCCGCATAGCACCTCCATCATCCCCTTCCACTACCACCTGGAATGCTCGTGCCCTCCTTTTTCCAGGAGAAGCGGAAGGCCAAGAGTGCTCGATTGCGTGATCTACTCAAGCCCCAGGGAGTGATTAGTCTTCAGGAGGTCCACGCACTGCGGCCGAACTACAGCACCAAGTATTTATTTCAAACAAGAAGGTCGCCTCTTCCTCTTCCATTCCTAAACACAATGCAGGATGTGCGCCGATTCTGCTGATGGGTCTCTCTCAACGTGAAGCTGATACGACCAGGGAGCTGTAGCGGATCAGACACTCGATCACCGTCTCTGGCCATGCGCAAAGATTGCAGATCACGGCGAGGGCCGATTTTTCAGAAGTGAAGACGCAATGCTCGTGATATATACATATATATAGATGTATGTAGAATCTGTGTTGTTTTAAGCTACGACTTGAAAGAAGGTGTGGCGAGGCAATTGATGGCGCGCAACGCTGCAGAGGTTGCCAGTGCGGAGCAGTTCCCGTTGCGGTCGACGGTCATGGTCTTGGGCGATTTCAACGGCCATAGCAAAGCCTCGATGTATCCCGCGACGCCTGAGATCGACAAGAGAGGTCTCGCTGCGCCGAGATCGAGGGCCCAATGCATTGAGTGGCCTCGCGGAGCTGGACCCTGAGCAGCCGACCAATCCCACTGCGATGGACCAGCGGCTAGCGCAGCTCGACCTGGTATTCGTGAGCACGCTAGGCTGGCTGCTGCTTCAGTGGTGCCTGACTGCCACGGTGCTGGACAAGCCAGAGATCCTGCGCGAGAGGGGCATGTCGGACCATGCCCCGGTCCGCGCAACGTTCGGCCCGATGCCGCGGCGGCCTGAGAATGGGCATCCCATCCCCGCCAGTCCCCCAACTTTTCCCATTACCTTTCCCTTCTTCTCAGCTTCTCCCTCATCCCTTCCATGCTACATATTGCGGAATGGCGAGAGTACAAACGAGTGCTCCGGGATGCCGCTTGGATGTCCAGATGTCCAGGGACCTTCTGGCCACGGCTCGAGCTCCTGAGCTCGAGGCCAAGCTTTTGATATTCCGGTTAATCTCCAGGGCTGTTAATCAGGATGGTTTTGCTCTGGCGTTCCGTCTCCTCGCCGCGACTCCTGCAACCGCGGAACATCTTGAGCCGTCGCAGGCGGGGGCGGCGTCGTCGAGGTCGGCGGTTGAGATTCTGGCGCGAATATGATTCCCTCCAGCGGCAGCTTGTTCAGAGGAGGCTTGCTTCCGCTGAGACGGCGGCGCAAGAGCCCCATGTTTTTTTGCGGGGCGCGAGGGGTTGAGAGCCTATATGCGCGCGGAGCGCAGGCGCGGTAAGCTACGGGCCCCATTCTAGGAAGACCCCCTTTCTCCGGGCCTTGATTGCTCCAGGGGGGCCCGCCTGCCTCGGGCCCCGAGGATATGGCAAGCGGACTTCGGAAACATTGAGCCCCCATCTTTGCTTGGCAATCTGCGCCGCTAAAGCATGTGATGAAGTATCTAGAGAGGCATGTGGCACCGTTCGACTGGTCCGAGATTTCGCCTCCGACCGTTGCGCCGACCAGGGAGACGATGCGCAGGGCCAAGTCGACGGCTCCAGGCCCTGATGGGTTTCCATACGCGGCGTGGCAACATAATCCTCTCTCTGCTGAGATCCTCTTCGACCTCCTCTTACTCATGTTTAGTGGGATGCCACCGCCAGCTGGACTGAATGGACTGTTGCTTGTTGTTGTTCCCAATGGTAGGCTAGGGGGCGACTGTAGCAAGGTGGTGCGATATGCTGTCTCGACCCACCCTCTTGCATTGAAACAACGTTGATGCGAATCTCTTCCCCCATGCGCGCAATGCGAAGCGCAGGCGCGCAGCTAGGAAGCAGGCGCACTCTGGCCATCAAGGGTTTCGTGGTAGGCCGCAATTTCTTGAATGATGCAACCTACTGGACGTCGCGGCCAGAGCCCTTGGCTTGCCTGAGCAGGCTGCGACGCGCCATCCCCGCATTCCTCCTCGACTTCGGCAAC